GTTGTTTAACCTCTTGAGACGGGCATTTCCCTTTAGGCCTTGACTTGGATCAGCTGTCATTTTGATGGTTTTCACAGAAGGAAACTCCTTCCACTTCCACAAAATCCAAACTGCCCATGTGCATCTTTCTTCTCCCTTCCCTTCTCATGCTAGAGAAGAGTCCGCCCACCCCGAGCCGAACCCTGCCTGGAGAGAGCCCTCATTAGCCTCTTCCTCTGACTTTTGACTCTCCGTTCTTACTGTCTGTCTCGTTAAGCATTTCAGGGTGCTCCGTTCTCCCCGGCTTCATTCACCACTCCTTAGCTGGGCTGCCCCAGCTTCCCCTTGCTTCCCGTGCAGGCAGGGAAGGGCCCTGCTGAGGTCACCACGCCCCTCCTGGAGCGCAGTCCACTATAGGACTTTCCCTTCTTACTGTACCTCCGAGTAGCATTTAGCACCGTCCACGACTTTCTCTTGATAGAAACGTTTTTCTCTTGGTGTACGAACCCTTGAATTGCTGCAGCTCCTTATTCTCCTTTGCTGGCCGCCCTCTTCCCGTAGCCCTGAGGATCTTGGGACTCCTCAGGGTCCTAGCAAGACCTGCTTTCCTCATTATGGGTGATCACGCTCCTCTTGCAGCTGAGTTTTATCTCCACCTATGACCTCTCCACAGAGCTCCAGAACCTTCCCGCTCGACTATCTGCACTTCACTCTCTACTCCCTGTATTGTTTCTTAAACTTTCCCTTGCTCCCTCAACCTCTTGTCGCAACATGGGCAAGCACTGCCCCACACACCTTGGATTCAGTACGTGTTTGAGTTGGAATCACTGATTTTGAATTATTTTTTATCGTGCCTTCAGAAGCCTTTTACTGTTGCCAACCTTTTTTGAAACTACCACATTCAGTCTTGTAAGAAACACTGCATATTTAAAACTGAATTTATTCTCTTCTCAGTATTCTAATAGAGAGAGAGAGAGAGAGAGAGAAGTAACTTTTTGCAATGAGGCAGTTTGCAGTATTAACAGCAGTGGGAGGATGAGTGAATCACACCTGCTTTGAATGAGCAAACCAACATCTCTCATCACTATGCAAAGCTGACTGACTTGGGGCCTACCGACTCTTGGTATTGTAACCAGTGAGAACTACGAAAAGCATAAGCCTTTTACTTAAAAACCTCGAAAATCCGTACTGCTTGAGATTAGTTACGAGGGCACCTCGGTCTGGCCTCTGCTTACCCTCCCTAGTTCCGTTGAGTAATGTTGGCCGTCCGCTCTTCCCCTCGAGCTCAGCTGTGTGGGCTTGCTGTCAGTTCAGTTTAGGGTGGTGACGGTGGTGGTTAGACGGGTGGGAGCATGTCGTGTCCGCTCCTCCGTGGATAGAACGTTTGCCCTGTCGTTCCTGTCTGCTTTTCTTCTCCCTTGGCTTTGCCTGTTTATTAAAAAGGACTATAAACCAAATGATACAGTCTATACACACCTCTGTCAGGGTTTTCATTTTACATTCTATGACATTCATGCATGTTGCTGGGTGTCGTTGAAATTTGTACAGTAATCCATTAGATAACCCCAAACCAAATTCACTGCCATCAAGTGGATGCTGACTCAGAGTGAGGGTGGAAGTGCCTCTGTGAGTTTCTGAGATTGTAACTCCTTACAGCCGCAGAAGGTCCCATCTTTCTCCCTCGGAGCAGCTGTCTTCAAATTGCTGGCCTTGCAGTTGGCAGCCCATCTCTACCCACTGTGCCACCAGGGCGCCTCCCCAGTGCCTAGAGACAGCACACTGTGTCTTCTTTCTTTGAACATACAGCAGCTAACAGTGAATGGAAAAAATGATGAAGAAAAAAAAGCTGAACAGACATTTCAAAGGCAAAGTATTATAACGAATATGCAAAGACCTGGAGTTAGAAGATCAAAAGGAAATAACATCCGCAGTATTTCTCAAGAGCTGAAAGAATTTATGAAAATTCAAGATATTAACATGTGTCTCAATGACTATGCATGGGCATTGAGCTATGTGGACCATAACAAATTATGGAAAGCACAAAGAATGGGAATTCCAGAACACCCAATTGTTCTCATACAGAGCTTTTAGTCGACAAAGAGGCACTTTGAACCCAACAGTGGGCTCATTCGTAGTTTAAAGTCAAGAAAGGTGTGGGTCAGTTGTATCCTTTCACCATACTTGTTCAAGCTGTATGGTAAGTAAATGCCCTAAAAGCTGGACTGTGTGGTAAAAGAAAGCAGCATCAGGATCGGAGGAAGGGCCCGTGAACAACCTGTAGTCTGCAGCCAACAGACTTAGGGGAATGAAGAAGACTTGAAGCACGTGGCTGATGAAGATCGATGAATACAGTAAGGGTTGCACCTCAATATAGGAAAACAAGAATCCTCCCAACTGGACTGATAGACAACTTCAGTGGAGAAACTATTGATGCTGCCATGATTCTATTTTATTTGAATCCACATAAGTGGATTCAAGAAACTGAACAGCATATTGCACGGGGCAAATCTGCTGCAGAAGTGATGAAAAACAAAGATGGCAGGCACTTGAAGGAATAAAGTGGGCCTGGCCCTAGCCCAGGCATTTTCAGTTGCTTCACATGCAAAGGGAACTTGGAAAATGAATAAGAAAGACCAGAGAATAATTGATGCCTTTGATACGGTGTTGATGAAGAATATTGAATGTGCCTGAACGGCCAGAAGAACGAACAGCTTGGAAGAAGAACAGCCACGCTGCTCTTTAGAAGTGAAAGTTCACCTCGTGTGCTGTGCATGGTATCAGGCAGAGCCAGTCAGTCCCTGGAGACGGCCGCCAGGACTGGTCAAGTAGAGAGCTGGGGAAAGAGGAAGACTGTCAACAAGCGGAATTGACGCAGTGGCTGCAACCCTGGCTCAGCATAAGACGTGGCAGGACTAGGTAATCTTTCAATCTGTTGGACGTCAGGTCAGAAGCTGCCCCACACATCCTACCAACAGCAACTGCCGGTAGACACTGGGCTGCTTTCACTGTCGGCTTGTAAGAAAACAGTGTGGTTACAATGGTTTCTGTGTACACTGCATGGCTCTCTTATGGGTATATACTTAGGAGAGGTTTCACCACCAAGACAGTGCACATGCAGTTCTTTAAATTTGATAGAGAACACCATGTTGTTTGGCTAAATGGCTATACCAATGTGCGCTAACAATTTCTTCTTTCGCGTCTTTTCTAGCGCTTAGTATTGTCACATTTTAAATTAAAAAATCACTGTTGGGGGCTCTTACAGCTCTTATAACCACCCATACAGCCATTGTGTCAAGCACATCTGTACATATGTTGCCACCATTTTCAAAACATTTTCGTTGTACTTGAGCCCTTGGTATCAGCTCCTCTTTTCCTCCCTCTTTCCCCCCACCCTCCCATCCTCATGAACCCTTGAGAAATTATATGTTACTATTATTTTCATATTTTACACGGGCTGCTGTCTCCCATCACCTGTTTCTGTTGTTTGTCACCCTGTTTTGGTGGGGAGGGGGCATTTTAAATTTTTTGGCATTCCAGTTTTATTAGTGTTTTCTTTCTTTCTTAATGAGGTGAACGATTAATTTTGGCCCATTGGGATATTTTGTGAAATCTGATCAAGCCGCTTGTTCAGTTTGTTCGTCTTGGTTCCTTGTCTTTGTCCTGTTTATTTGTAGGATTTCTTTTTATATTCTGTGTAGTAGCTCTTTGTTGCAATGATGATAAGGTTGTGGCTATCTTTTTCACTCTTTAAATTGGGTTGTTGAATTCACCACCACCCATCTATCAGTTTGTTGTACTGTTATAGCTTACATGTTGTTGTCATGTTAGAAGTTATGTCACTGGTATTTCAAATATGACAGACAGGTTCCCAGGAATGCCCCTGGCTAAGAGAGTAGGAAGAAAGGCAATCTACTTCTAAAAATTAGCCATTAAAAACCATATGGGTCACAACTTGCATGCTTTGGGCACATTATGTACGGGTAGGGATCCGTCACTGCAGGAGGACATAGTGTGGTGTGAGGTCGAGGGCGAATGAGGGCAAAGGAGAGCCTCAGTGAGATGCAGGGACCCAGTCGCTGTGGCAGTGGACTTACACATGCTGAGGATTGTGAGGCTGGTGCTGTCTATCCTGTTGGGTATAATGTTGCCGTGAGTCAGTGTTGACGCCTTGGCAGTTCACTAGGGCCACCACAAAATTCGTCAGCCGTAATTACCATTAGTTGGAGGGATGGGGGTGAGAATGGGGAGTTAATGCTTAAAAGTTTAGGGAAGAAATATACTGTATAAACTCGAGTATAAGCTGACCCGAATATCAACCGAGGCACCTAATTTTACCACAAAAACTGCATTAAAAATGTGCTGAAAAAACTCGGCTTATACTCGAGTATATACGGTAAATGATGATTGGACGATATCGTAAATGCAGTGCAACAGTTTAAAATGGCAAGTATTGGCTACATGGGCCATCATCACAAGGCAGTGTGCTTTTATAACATCCGTTTGTTCTCTGTACTAATATTTTTGTTGGTGGTGGTAGTTACCGTTGAGTGGGCTCTCCTGGTGGTCTGAGGTCTAACAGCTGACCTGCTGCCCGGTGTTGCCCTATTGCCCCGGTTTTTGTTGGCTTTGAGCCCATTGTTGAGGCTGTTAGGCCAGTCACCTCACTGACGATTTCTCGTTTGTTTGTTTGTTTGCACCAGCTTGCTGCCACACGTGATGGCCTTCTCTGGTAGTGATGAGTCTGTCCTGATAACCTGTTCACAGGTAGCCCGAGGAGTCTAACCATCCTCCCCTTTCAGGAGCATTTCAGTTGTGCTTCTTGTAGCATGCAGCATTTACTTGCTTACCTGTGTGACAGCCAGACGGTAAGTTCTGTGCAGATTCGGGGGTTGGAGGAAGGGCTGTTCCACACTCCTGTTTGCTACGGCCTTCCTGTTGTAAATATTTGAGTGAACGATGGTGCTTTCTGAATGCTGTCGATTTCTTTGGCAAACCCTTAAAATGTCCTGTTTCTCTTGTAGTTGCTGTCGCTGCTGGCCTTCGTCTGTGAAGAAGTCGTTTCACAATGCACTCTGTGTGGAGGGCTGTACTTCTTTGAGTTTGTTAGCTGCTGTGCCTTTCTTCTCAGCCTCCTCATCCTGATTGTGTACTGCACTCCAATCTATGACAGAATCGATGCTGAGAAAATACGGCAATCGGTAAGCATTAAGAAAATACAGTTCCTATACTAAGAGCATAATTACTTGGGTAATCTCTCATAGTTGGTTCCCCCCCTCCTCCCATAGTTTTATTGTTCAGGGTACTGATTGATAGTTTAAAAACGCAGCCCCACAGAGAGACATTCACCATTGCTCCATCGGTCTGCTGTTAGTAACTCAGTTCCCCCTGCCATGCGGATGCTAGAGGTTAGGACCAGGAGAGCGACACACATTGCTAACCACTTACGCGGGTTGGTGGTTTAGTCTAAATCACACAAGAGCTTTTTTAAAATGAGGATTTTCTCATGGTTGATAGCTTTTCATGCTTCAGAGCCCCATCCATTAGTCTTGTAGTTGTTCATTGCACACTTTTTACATGCCAGGCATTTACTAGACAGAGAGAGTAATGAACTAACGTGAGCTGTTTCTGAGATTTAAAACAAAATGCATGTAACTATTTTGTTTTGATTTTATATGGAGGTGTCAGTAAGTGAATTAAGATGGCTTTTGTTGAATTTATCGTGCAGAAAATATCTTTACAATACAGGTTACCTAGAAGTTCTAGTTTGTTGGGTAAGCTAATCGCAAGGTTGGTAATTCAAATCCTCTAGCCATGGGCGAATGATGAGGCTGTCTGGTTTTTGGAATTGCCTAGTTAATGGGTTTGGATGTGAATTTTTTCACTTTCTAAAAGAGTTAGTCCCCAGATCCTGCGGGTAATTTGGATTTCTGAGATGATAGATGAGATAATTCTGAGTCAGAATTAAAGGAAAAAGAACTGAGTAATTTATTTCTTCAACAGTATTTGAGTTGTCATTAACACTTTGTGAAGTGTGGCACATATTAAGGCCAGCATATGGAAGTACTCATCTTAAGGGAAAGTGAAAATTACAGTGGAATTGTAACTTAGTAAGAACTAGAGATAACAGTAAAAAGCAGTAAGACTATTTTAAATGAATGAGAAGCAAGCACTTGGTTAGATACTGATTATACACCTATGATGCATTTTTACTGTTGATCATGTTGTAGGAATCTATCTACTTTGGAAAATATTTTATTAAGTTGAAAATGAACGAAAAAAAAACACAGAAAGTTGATACGGACAGTTAAATATAACTGAATTCTGAGTAGATTCTGATCAAATACAAAGTTCTCAGTATGGCCAATATATGAGTATTCCACTATCAGGCCTTATAATCCCACAGTTTTGAATCCTTGTGCCTATGAAGGACTGCTCCCTTTTTCTATTGATGAAACGTACGTAGGCCTATTTACTGGTTAAGTAACTGAGTCAGAATAGCTTGAGAAAAAAATGATGAGGAGCTGATGCCAGGGGCTTAAGTGGAGAGCAAATGTTTTGAGAATGATGAGGGCAATGAATGTACAAATGTGCTTTACACATTGATGTATGTATAGAATGTGATAAGAGTTGTATGAACCCCTAATAAAATGATTTTTAAAAAGTAGCTTGAGATTTGAACCCAGGTAAGGCTTTACTCTCTGCCTTCTGCTCTGTAGCCTCAGCATAGACTGATGAGAATAAATGCCCCCTGATACTCGAGATGCTGTCTTAGCAAATGCCATTACTGCAGGAACCTGAGAATTAGCAAAATACAGAACCTGTTTATTTCTGCAATTCATGTTCATAAGAGAATGCAGATAATACCTTAGGATGTTTCCGTTGTAATCTGAAAATGCTTTCATTTTACAGGTAAGTACGCCCTAAGGGATACGTTCTGAGTATCTGAGCTGCTTGGCTTGTAGTTTGCATATACAAATTTATATTTAAAATATGAAGCACTTCTATTTCAAATAACTTCACATTCATATAAAATTTATGTTTAAACTCTTAAGGGTTAGAACGATGTTTTCCTTTGTGCTGTATCTCAAGGGCAAATGATTAGCCATAAAAATGTGAAACGTGTTGCATTTCTGCCGTACTGCTGCCCCTGCAGTGTGGAAGCACATTGCTTTCTTTTCTGCAAACAGTATTGTAATCTTAACCGCATGTAATGGGCTGAACAGAATGTCAAACAGGTAGTACACCAAAGTTGAGCATTTTGTAGTAAATAATAATTGAAAAAAGAAAAATATATTAGTCCTTTCACCCTGAAACTGTTGTAACCATATTATTTTTTCAAGTCTTTGATTTCTATTGATTGATGATTTTGAAAATTTCAAAGTTGCTATCGTAGTGCATGTATTTTATTTTCCTTCTAACACCATAAAGATTGTATATTTGTTTCCTTGCATCATTTGAAAATCACTTAATCTTTAGCTATTAATATAATTAAAATGTAAATATCTTTTATGTAGAAGAGGTTTTCTGTTTGAGATAATATTTTGAGTGTTTCATAGTGGTGGGGTATAGAGAGGAATGATAATGTATGAGAATCTTTTCTAGCCCATGCTCTCATGGGTCAGATTCTAATAAGAATAACAATGTCCAACAGTCATGGGGTATAAAATGTTAACGTGCTTAAATGTCTCCTTTAATGTATTGTGAATGTGGGTAGTTTATTTGTATGTAACAGGTTTAAAATAATATCCAAAGGAATAGAGAGTAATTGAAAGGGGTACTGCAGAAAAACATTTCTCTTGAACCAGAAAACTTTTTACATGTTAGTACATGACAGTGAACAGTGGACAGGATGGGAGTTCTGTGTCAGTCAGTTTTATTGATGCTTGGTGTAGTGGAGTTTACTTTTCAGAAAACTCAAAAGGATCAGACAAAACCTTTTGGAGTCACTGTCATTGTACCAGTGTCTCCATCAGAGTCAGCTGGGCCCATGCCAAGCACTGCGTTCAAGCGGTTGTGAGATCCTGATGAAGTGGTGGTGAGAGCACCGTGGAGAGCTGTCGCTGCCCTGTGCTGAGACGTGGAAGCGTTCTTCGTTCTTCGCAGCAGCGTACTCGGTTACCCACGTGGAGTGGTTGAAGGCTGGGTCACTCCGCAGCCAGGATTTCAGTGTCAGAGACACACACTGGGCTATCTTATTGAACACTGGGGTTCTCTCCCAACGTGCTTTCAATGTACTCAAGCACTAACCCCAGAGGCCGTCCTTGTACAGCGTTCTTTGAAGGGGAGTAAGAGTGCTTTCTTTGCTAGAAGTGAAATGGAATTTTAATAAATCCTTTGGCTCTGATGATTTTAGTATATCGAGAGAAGAAAAGGGCTAGCACACTTGGGCATGTTCACACAGTCCTTTGGGGTCTGTTTTTATTAAAAGGTTATCTTGGGCTGTGCTTTCTGAAACTGCCAAGTCCAAATGTGAGATTGTGTCAAGGGGGGAAAAAGGTAAATCACTAAAGTTTCTAAAAAAGTAAAAAGTGAAATGAGCAAATGATATTGAGGGCTAAAGTGGAGGGCAAATGTTTTGAGATTGATGAGGGCTACAGGTGTACATATGTGCTTGACTGAATGGATGTATGTATGGACTGTGATAAGAATTGTACGAGCCCTCAGTAAAATAATTAAAAAAAAGAATAATGAGGGTAACAAATGTATAAGTGTGCTTTATACAATTGATGTATGTATGGATTGTGATGAGTTGTATGAGCCCCCAATAAAATGACTTAAAAAAAAAAAAGTAAGAAGTGAAACATGTTTTCTATCAGTCTCCTCATACTGTATTCCTCCTGTGTTTGATACATGTCTCCAGGACTTTTATATCACTGTGGTAACAGGCGTTGTGTTTTTGCTGGCATCCATTATTTTTACCACCACCCATGACAGGACCCCAACTGAAACTGCTGCAATTGTAAGTATCTTGTACTCTCTACCTTTGCTCATTTTCCCCTGCTAGAAATAACAGGGAATTTGGGAAATGCTTGACAAGTTACACATTATGGTAGCAGAGCTTCTCGTACTTTTATTTTGTGTCCTTTTGACTAGAAAGACCTAAAAGTAAATAAATGTGATAGTTTTAAAATGTAGACCCATCTTGATTTATTACCATATATACGTGTGTATCAGCCGAGTTTGTCAGCACATTTTTAATGCAGTTTTGTGGTAAAATTAGGTGCCTTGGCTGATTTGGGGGTTGGCTTATACTCGGGTATATATGGTATTATTTTTTGGACTTATTCTACAATTATTTTATTTCTTTATTTTTTATAAAGAAATGTGTTAGAATTTTTTTTTCCTTTCAGAGCTTTATTGGGACATAATCTACATATACAATTCAGTATTTCAATCCTACCAAAAAGAATTGTACAATCATTACCACCCATCAATTTTAGAACACAGATCCTATGTTTAGAATTGGACCGAATTTTGTTAACAAAAACCCATTTGTTCTGCATATGAACATATTATTGTTCTTGAAAGTAGTAGGAGTAAACCTTTATTGTTTTGTATATTCTTCAACTCTGCAGCAAAGCAGAACCACCCCTATCTGCCTGACACTTGTGGGTGTCCGGCATACACAAGAGGAACTAGTCAGAGTGGCACCCCAACCTAAGAGAAGGGTGAACAAATCAAGGGGGTTATGCTAAGTGAGCACATAGAAGGTGGTCCAGACAGCGGTCTTCAGTGGGGTGCACATATCCCGAAAGGTTCTTTTAGACTCCCCTAGGAATACTGTGCGAGCATAACAGAGCCCTGGTTGTGTGGTGGGTAAGCGCTCATTTCTCATGGAGAAGTTGGTGGTTTGAGTCCACTCGCCACTCTGCTGGGTGGGAGAAAAGGCATGCTGATCTGTTCTGTAAAGTGTGCAGCCCAGGAAATCCGATGGGGCAGCTCGGCTCTGTCATCAGGTCACTGTGGCCAGACGGACTGAATGTCCCCCCATTAACTGGGCCGGGTTAGTACAAGCTGCGTCAAAACCAATCAGACTTGGCACCATGGAGTTGATGGTAACTCACAGAGAGAGGGTCTGAGGAGACCGTAGCACTTTGCCAGAGCTGAAAGCCTCACTTTTCTCCTAAGGAGTAGCTGGTGGTTCTTAACTGCTGACCTTGTGGTTAGCAGCCCAGCTCATAACCACTACCCCCACCCCACCCACCAGGGCTCCTCAGGGGTAGTGTTTAAGGAAACCAATTTTGACCTTGTCTATAGTCATACCTTATTGATCTTAAAACTAAGATCTGTCTGAATGCGTCTCTAGTAGAGAGTCTAGTTAGTTCTCTGCCGTCTTCCCTTTCACAGTCCCTGAGTAAATGACCTGGAGACTGTATCTAATTTCCTGTTGACTACACTGAGGAGAAGGAGAATCCAACTCCCAGCTGCCTGAGGCCTATTGCCATAGCCAGAAGCCAGACAAGTCTTCACCCTCCATCCTTTTTTACCCTATTCTGACACCCATTGTTCTCACAGCACTCTACTTTTCAACTGAGGCCACTAATCCTACTTTTCAACTGAGGCCACTAATCCATTACAGTTGCCACATAGAACTCACAGACCATACTCAAGATGAAGGGTGGTTTAAGTTAAAAGGTTACCAGAAGGCAAGATCAGAAAACATTAAGCGTCGAGTCACTGATCCACAGCAACAACCCTGCTCAGCCATTAGCCAAGCCCACCTCCAGTCCCTCTCTCATCCACATGACCCCTGGGCCGTGCTGCCGTGGCCAGGAAGCCAGCTCACTACACTGCCTCATAGCCTGGGTGCTGCGCCTCTGTTGTGTTTCAGGATCTGCTTGCTCCAGTCTGGTCTCGGTCTGGCTCCTTCGCTCTGTCCCACGTCTCTGTATGTGCTTCACTGCGGTTCCTCTTCTTTAATGGCCTGGGGGTTCTGTCTGCTTCTGAGGTAGCTTTCACACCCAGAGTGGTGGCTTTGAAGGAGGTGTGTTTTCTGCATTAGCAGACAATGCCCTCAAGGAAACAAAGAGTGGTACCTTGGCTCATACCTCCTAGTAAAGCAGAGACTCAGAACATATCCCACCTTGATGCTGTAACAGAGAACTCTGTCCAAAATTGGATTATAACTACAGGCATAAAGGCTAACATTTACAACACATCACAAAAGATTATGACTAGGAGGGCCATATTACTTGACTACATCTTAGTCACACTTAAAAAAAAAAGCACAAAGTATATATTTTTTTGCCTTTCCCAAACTTACATTCATCCTCATAAGGTGTAAAAACCAACCAACAACGTGAAACACATGACACCCTTGGGTGTAATAAAGAGGCAGCTCAGAACAGGAGCTGTCGTGTATACCTGAAATCTGTCTGCCAGATGCTTTTTTAACTTTAGAATATTCTGAATGTTAGAAAGGCAGTTCTGTGCGTGCACTGTATTGCATAACACCCTCAGAGGGCCTGGGACAGCACATTAATATTCTGAAGCAAAACATCTGAACATTCATAGAAAAAGAGATGAGACTGTAAATAGTCTTGCCTGGCGTCAATTTGGAGCCAAGTGAATCATGAAACTTTGGGGAGTTTTTAGCTTTTGCGAATTTCAGGATTGAAGGTCGGGGATTGGCACCAGTGTTGGTGTGAACATCTTGCAACTGGGTAACACGTCCGCATGCACATCCTGGGTTTCTAATTGATCCTTGGTTCTTACCAAAGTTAAATTGGTAATTAAATGCATTGTCAGCTAACAAATCATTCAAAGTATTTCTTAGGGTAGAACAACTCAAAAGAAGCTCAGGGAATTGCATGGCATGGTTATGATAATTTCTTATCCACTTGTTCATGTGACCATGGTTTCTTAGCACTTACACGCACAGACTAACACAGACATGTGAAAACAAAAGTGAGTGCCGAACCTTGCTTCTTCATTCCATGAATAAGTAACATCTATCTTTAGATAGATTACATAAGCCAGTTGAAAAAGATCCAGAATAAAGTTGTAGCAGGGCCTTATTAATTGCTATTTGATAGATCCCCCCGCCCCTTCATTTTCTAAGTGTATACACATTTCTTGGAAGTAAAGCTCACCCCTAAATAGCATGGGTCTGAGCTGTACAGGAGCCCTTATAAACAAAATTTTAAAATAAACATATTGGAATCTTTTTTGGAGATTGGCAACATTGAAAAAGCAAGAAAAGCCTCATAGATGAACTCACAGCTTAGAAATATATATGTAAAAGAGAAAGTTGTGTCATGAGTGCATGAAGTATATGTAAATTCTTTTGTATCACTTAGCACCATAAGATATTCATAAATCTATTCTAAAAAGTTAATATTTATCAACACTTAGGCACACAAGCACAGGCATCATTTTCAGTCAAAAGAAATGTAAAAATGCCGGGCAGTGTAAGATAAGATATAATAATAATTTATAAATTATGAAGGGTTCATGAGGGAGGGGGGAGCGAGGGAGACAGGGGAAAAAAGGAAAATGAGCTGATTCCGGGAACCCATGAGGAAAGCGAATTTTGGGAATGATGAGGGCAACAAATGTATAGGTGTGCTTTACACAATTGACCTATGTATCGTGATGAATTGTATGAACCCCAATAAAATTATTAAAAAAAAAAAGAAATGTAAACCTAAGGGTGCAGTTTTAAATCAAAACTGCATAAAGTCAACGACAGGGCCAGAGTGCCACCTGATCTGCATTTGAACTGTTTGAGAGGTTTGCCAAGCGAAAGGAGGAATAGATGCCACATTGCCAGAGGGGAGCGGAGACTTGGGTGTGGAAGCATGAGAGGACAGTGGATTTTCTCCAGAATGCACGTCCTGTGGAGTGGAAGAGCGTGGCGAGGGAAAGGATCTGAGACTGCAGCCAAATGCCAGGGACTGTTACAAGCCTGTGTTCAAGTTGACAGGCACCTTGGCCGTCACCTAGATCGGGGTTTCTCTCGACAAAGCACTCCTTGCCCGTTTCCGTACGGGTTTTGCCGGTGTAGATTTCCTCCAGGGTCTCCTGTCTGCACAGGATTCTCAGAAGTTACAAGAATACAATGAGGAAGTGCTTTAAGGAAGAGGATATGGGCAGTGTGTGTGGTCGTGCTGCTGTGTCATTGCAGTGTGACGAACTGGAAGAGTTTTTGAAGTATTTCAACAGAATCTCGCTGACAGAGAATCGGTTCTGGTATTCATAACTTTGGTCTGGCTCAGTGGCCTACTCCTGTGTTCTTCTCATCATATTTGTAGGGCAGTCCAAACACTGCTAGGTATCTTGTGGGGCTTGATTTTTCAACTGTTAGCCTTACTTAGATTAATATATGGGCACCCTCTCACATAGCCAAACACACAAAAGACAGGTCGGTTGTATTTTATGGAACTTTGACTAATAATGCTTATTCTGGAAAACTTTTTTGTTTTTTGGTCCTGTCTTTAATTCACCACAAAAACACATTGGGTGTGTGTATGTAATATTTTCTTTTTTAATTAGGAGTTAATACATATATCATTCCATAGTTCATTCACATCAAACAGTATTGTACAATTGCTACCACAGTTTCCAAACATTCTTTTCCTTCCTGGACTCCTTGACATCAGCTAAACCCCCACCCCCTTGGGAAAAAACCCAACTATTTAAAGCTTTGTTTTTCTTTTTTGGAGGTAGAAGGGCGTTGACTAAATTATATTGTACCACGAAGTTTAGGAGCAATGGAGCAATGTGTACGTGACAAGAGCCCTGGCAGCTGAGTGAATTACAGATGCACTGGGCTGTCACCAGGAGGTCGGCCGTGCAAACCCACCTGCCACTCCTTTGGAGAAAGATGAGACTTGCTGCTCCCCCAGTGTTGACACCCTTGAACACCCACAGGGGCATGCGTTGGAATCCACGCAGTTGGCATCACGTTTGGTTTTGCTGTGTAAGAGGAATGGATCATCTTGCTTAAGTGACGTGTATGTGATTGTATTCCAAAATCCTTCCAGTAACCTCTCCCTCTTTCTTCCTCAGGTGTTTGGATTTGGGGCCAGCTTCATGTTTCTGGTTGACTTTATCGTTATGCTCTTTAAAAAACGCCAGGATGACCAGCTGAGAAAATCTGAGTTGCCCCTGAGGACAGAAGCTGCCACTGAACCACTGAATGCTCCTCGCTAGCAAAGAAGCATTCCCATCCGCTGAGCTCTGAGCAGACGACCCATCAGGCAGTGACTGCATGATGCCTAAACCCTGGCAGACAGTCTTGAAGAGTTGGTGTGACCACTTCTTTGGAAAACAAGGACTTGAAGAGCAAGAAGGCAGTTTGTGGCTATTTTAGACTGTCAGTCACCACAATTAGGCCAGAAGGTGTTTTGTTTTGTTTTTAACAATAGTTGAAACTTGCATCAAATGAAAATTTTTTGCAGGTAGCAAGACCAATGTTTTTTTTTAATCATACAGGTCATGATAATAAACTATCCTGTCATGTAAAAAAATAAGATATTTCACTAGCTTCTACTTCCAAAATGCTTTATAGCTGAATAAACAGCATAATTATTTTGATTTGAAATCAGTTTGCTTAGCGATGGGTCTGGGTTTTTTTAAACTTGTTTTTGTTTTGTAAAAGAAATAAAATAGACAATGATTAGATTATGTTCTGTTCACTGAAATTTAATGTATATTTAAGGATCAATACTTTAAAATGTTGGTCTTGATTTTTCTCTTAAAATCAAAATTTGCTATCTCACTCTGCCTTAAAATGATTATGATATCGTAGGATAATTATTACTAACTCTGATTTTACTGTAGTGTAATATAAATTGTATAAGAAAGTCATTGGTATTTTATGTGTATAAAACATTGGCAGCCTCCATGTTTATATTGCACTTTGGTTGTTGCTAACAATATCAAGTGTAAAGAAAAAAACAGGCAGGGATGTAATGCAACACAGAAAGATTGAATGAACTGATATTAGGCCTAAGGACCAAAGACAAAAAAGACAGTTTGCCCAGTTACAGTGAAAGTAATTAGAAAAATAAGCACCAAGCACTTAGCAAGAAGAGATGAGTTCATACTGTGATTAGAAAATGGTGTCTTTCATGTTGGCATCTGATTTTTTTTTACTTAACACAGCTCTGCTGGGCCTTATATGTTTTTGTGGGATCTGGTCTTAAAACTCCCACGAATCAGTCAGTCACCCTGGTCTCTGAGGTTGTTCCTCTTTGCAGGATGCTCCCTTTGCTGTCTTGCCAGAGTGGCCTGTACAGCCTTCATTGTCTGGCAGAGGGGGGCCTCGCTCTGGCTGGCTGTCTACACTCTGCGCCGTTTTAATTGCAGAGTGCACAGCAGGGTTGTTTGGGTCCGTGTTCTCACACAGCATTGCCCCAGTTTGCTCTGGAGGAGACCTAATACAGTGACTGTCCAGGAGAGAATTCTGTCCAGATGAATCCTGGGTTAGTCAAATTACTCTCATGAGACACTTTATCATAGTTCTGATCATATGGAAGAATAGTCTAACCCTGTCCTAGAGCCATCTGAAAAGGGCACAGGATGAGACCTTTCTCACCAGTAGGTTCGTGGACTAGACCTTTCTTGCTTCTAAGTTTTGACTCGGGACTCCACTATTCAGGGGGCGGGTCTGTGTCTGGTTCTTCAGTACTTTGGTGCATGGCTCCTGGGCTAGTTTTCTATCTGGAACAGTGGAATCGTGTTTTCAATAATGAAATTTAATGACCTGATCCTCCTCTAGTTTCTCAGCTGCTGTGTGTGTGTGTGTGTGTGTGTGTGTGTGTGTGTGTGTGTGTGTGTGTGTGTTTCACCTGCGTTAGCGGACCACATCTAGTGTGACTCAGATTGGTCAGTGTGACAACGCCTGCTCTGTTCTACTGACTCAGGACTGCCATTAGCCTCAGCTTGGATGGCACTGTTAGTGATAACGTCACCACTCCTTAGCGGGGAGACTGCAACTGGTCACAGCTGCTGTTCTTGCTGGGCTTGTCATTGAAAAGACAAACCGATCCTTGGGTTCCAGAATAAAGACGGATTCAGAGATAACCAGTTTCTGGTTTCGGAAATTTCTCCACTCAAACTCCTAACCGTTGCCATTTAAAAATACCGTTCAAATCCAGCTAGAATTCCCTTCCGGTCATCTGGAGAACCCCAGGATCCCCACCCATGCATCCCGGTTCATTGAACTTGGTGGACACATCTCTAGCTGGCCCTGCACATTTGTGGGTACATTAGCACTGAGCTGAAGCTCTGCTGCTCGGAGGGGTCTCCTTGCTTTGGGTCATGGGCAGCAGCAGTGGACTTTAGAGCTGGCTACCTGCTCCTTCACATCCACGGATGCTTCGGGTCACTCGTGAGCCTTCCTCTTTGTGCCGTTATGCAATCCAGGACCAGTTCGCTTTGACTTTTGTGAAGGGAATTAGTCCCCAAAAGTTTATAATGGCAAGTGAAATCATTTAAGCTGAACTTGGACTCAAAAAAAACCCCCACTCATATACAGAAAAGGGTAAACTCATTGCATTTAAAGTGCTTTTCTTATTAATAACCATGGCAGAGTTGATTTCATACAAAATGTTTTAAATGGTTCTTAATTATAAGGGAAATGTGCTTATAATACAAAGATTTTTATAATTGCTATACTTAAATTATGTTTTGTTGGGGGACTCGGGAATGTATTTTTACATTGTTTATAGCCAATCGTTTTTGTATTTATCAATTCTGTGGGCCTTTTAAAAAATCTATATGTCAACTTTTTTAATCTTTTAAATAAACCCATTTTATTAAAATATTCATACCCTTGTATTTAATTGAATTACTACAGAAATGTGATGTTTCGATGAAAGTTTTCTCCAGAGTTTTAGGAAGTAGCTCTCCAGCATCAGTCTCCAGAGAACACCGGATCGTGAAGATACTCAGGCTTGGAGAGAAGGTAGAAAAGAGACAAGCCCTGCCCCTATCCATGAGAAAAGTGGGACTACGTCTTCCCACCGTTTGAGGAAGGAGTCCCGGGGTTGCCGTCTGGCAGGCAGTGGGGCTGTTCACCTCTTGGGTGGCTGGTCAGAGTCCTGCAACCACTCTGACAAGGGTCTCTGCTCAGAGGGCTCGGCACCCTGGACGCCCAGGTTGGGTTGCTGCGAGCTGCCATCAGCTCCGTGGCAAAGGGCTTTGTCTGTTTTCTGTGTGAAGAGTTACGAAAGGAATGTGATGTGCTAAAGTTTAAATACTTCCTGAACAGCAAATCTCTCTTCTGCATCACATTTCTCCATGTGGCTAACAAAACGGGCACATTCTCTTTTGGAGTGTGGTCAGTGATTAGGAAAGTACAAGGCAAAAGGGTGGTTCTGGGGAAGTTATAACTATTTGTGTAGTGTGCAGAATTCCAGCCTCCAGCTTGCATGAGAAGAACAAGGTCTTCATAGTCATCAAGAACTTACTGGAATCTGTACATTCTTGAGAGTTTTCTATTTTGTTTTGATTCAAGAGCATTCAGTTGCCAGGAGCAGAAAACTATCTATATATCTGAACCCATTCAAACACACTCATCAAATTGACGGACTGCTATAAAGTCACAGGAATCTCTCTTAAAAATACCAAAATGTGTGAAACCATTGTTTCTCAACATCTCCTCCAGCTAGGTCTATAGATACTTTAAATCACTTTATTAGAAAGCAGATCGGGGTTTACATTTCAGAACATTTTTGTACTCAACAATTTCACTTAACACATCTCCCAGTAGCTTGCCTTTCCCACCCCCTTTATTTCTTCTCCCTCTTTTAGAATATTCCCCTTTAGCCAAGTCAATACCTGTCTGCCCTCTGGCCCAGGGCCAGCAAACTGCACCTCCTGAGCCATATGCTGCTGGTGTACATGTGGCGCTGAAGTAAAATTGGAAGACCTTAAAGGATCTTCAGATAATGGTGACGTCATTTGTTTGTAAATATATATTTATGGCTCTCGAGTAATTTTAAATTGTGAAAAGTTCTTCAACCCCTGCTCTAGCCTCTTCCCTCCCACCCCTAGTCCCCATCAGCTTTTGTCTTCTGGCATGAAAACCTTTATCTTGATAATTTTCTTTTTAAACAATCATTTTATTGAGAGCTCTTACAATAATCCATAATTCATTTAGCTGACTTCCCCCTTTTTAAAGTGTTTCTCATACAGTATTTGTGCAATTGTCCAACTTCACTCAGCAGAGTGGCCTCCAAATCCATCCGTGTCATGAAGTGTCCCAGAGTTTCATCATCACCCTCTAGTGATGTGCACAGTATTCCACTGTGTGTATGGACCCACGTCTGCCTGTCCTTCCTTCCACTGGTGGCAAGTTAGGTCTTAGTCACCTTGCTATTGTGCTCAGCGCGGTAATGAACGTGGGTGTGCGTGTGCCTGTTCATGCTGCAGCTCTGCTTTATTTTACTGTGTAGAGGCATTGCTGGGCCGCGTGGTGCTTCTGGTCTCCTTTGAGGAAGAGCCATACCACTTGCCGTAGTGGCCCTGCAGTTTGACGTCCCACGTGCAGTGTTTGTGGCTCCCAACCGCACACCCTCTCCAGCACTGTTAGTTTGTGTTTGATTTTTCAGCTCTGCTATCGATGCGGGTGTGTCGTGCTATCACTCACTGCTTTAATTTACATCTCTAATGGCTCGTGGTCTTGTGCGTGTTTTCATATGTTAGCCACCTTCATGGTGAACTGCCCACATGTCTACTGCCTATTTTTACTTGGATGATTTCGTCTTTGTGGAGGTGGTTCTGTGTTCTATAGATTTTCGAGGTAAGTCCTTTGTTGTATTTTTTTTCCTCTTCTGTGGGTTCACGTGTTACTTTGTGGGTGAAGCCTTCTGAGGCAGGTAGGTGTGTGATTTTTAGGAGGTCACAGTCATCTGTTTCGTCTTCTGTATGTATTTCATTGTGTTTGACTGTGTTTATGCCCTGCATTAGGGTCCTTAAGTTTGCCCCTATTTTCTCATTGATGATCTTTATAGTTTTAGGGTTTACACTTAGATCTTGAATCCATCTTGTTTGTTTTCCGATTTTTTTATTTATTAAAAGATCATTTTATTGGTGGCTCTTATAACTCTTCTAACAATCCAGACATCAATCTTATCGAGCATATTTGCATATATGTTGCCATCATGCTTTTCTAGACATTTGCTTTCTATTGAGCTCTTCTTTATTCACCTCCCTACTTCCCCCTTGTGACCCCTCGATAAATTATAAATTATTACTTTTGAGTTCATTTTTTTGTATGTGGAGTGCAGTATGGATCCTGTTTCACTCTTCTGTAAATAGAAATCCAACGCCATCAGTACCATTTGTTTAGGAGATTCTTCGCCGTTTCATGTAGGTCCCGTTGATGGTAGTGTTTCCATCTCTAACCTTCCCTGAAGAATTCTCGCTCTTCTAGTTACATCATGCCGAAACAGCCGCTTGATTGAGCTGGAGGCGCTCAAAGCACGGTTCTTTACATGTCCTTTGCGTTTAGGGAAGAGAATGGAGTCTGGAGGTGCAAGATCAGAGTTCCAGGGAGGGTGGGGTCATGCTTCCCAATGAAAGTCTGGTGAGACAGCCCTAGCTGCCCTGGAAGAACGGGCAGGTGCATTGTGATAGAAATAAATTACTCAGCACAACTGTCCTGGCCTCTCACCTGGTTTCAGTTTTCTTAAAAGTTCATAAGCTCTCGTGATTGTCCTGTGTCCATCAATAAAATCTATCAACCTTACCCCCTTTGCACTCCCAGAAAAAAGCTGCCATGATCGGAGGTGATCTCTGCCTAGAATTTAACTGGGCCAGCAGATCCCCACAGAGGCCACTGTTTTGATTTGATCTTGCTCTCTGAATTGTTTTGGTAAATTCAAGACTCACCACTACAATTTGTTCCATAAAGTCATTCTCCGTAGCTTCAGTCTTGCTTAAAAAACTGATGGCAGGATCAGCTCTTCCAGGTGGTTGATCCTCCAATCATTTTTGGCATCCTGCCACCACCAACCCCCCACCCCTTTTAAAGCACCCTATAAAAAAGAATGACATGAAGGTTATGCACTTCCAGCTAAACCCCGCCCCAAAGTAAAACCCCACTACTGTCAAGTGGATTCTGACTCACAGTGATCTGCAGTGGTTCTCAACCTTCCTAATGCCACGACCCTTTCATACAGGTCCTCATGGGTGACCCCCCAACCATAACATTATTTTCATTACTACTTCATCCCTGCCATTTTGCTACTGTGATGAATCGGGCGACCCCCGTGAAAGGGTCGTTTGACCCCCAAAGGGGTTGCAACCCATAGGTTAAGAAGCGCTGCTCGGCAGGGTTTCCGTTAGTCTTTACCGGAGCAGACAGCCTCATCTTTCTCCCACAGAGCCGCTGGTGCTTTTGAAATGCCAGGCTTGTAGTTAACAGTTCAAAACGTACCCACCAGGGCTCCATCATTAGCATCAGCTGGCCAAGGTGATGCCAGGGAGGCGGAGGCTGAGGCTGGACCGCTCCATCCTACCAAGTCTGACACCAACCATCCCTTCTACAGCACTGCATCTCAGCTGGATCGGATAATCGATGGCAATGGCCACGCAGAACTCGCAGACAACACTCACAATTATGGAGATTATTAAGGAAGCTGGCTCTTGGTTCTGCTGCCCCCTCCTCAGCTTTTCCTCTGGTATCAAAGCTGTCTCGTAGATCAAGGGGGTTCAGTGCACCAGAGGACAGGTGCCACGCCTGGCTCTTCTCTTCTGCTGGTAGTGAGATCTCCCCTGTCTTGTTTCAAAGATGGCTCATTTTATACGCAGCCGGATGACAACCACAATGAATCCTATCAACATGCACTCATGACAGTCTTATCAATGTCACCCACACGTTCTCCTACCCAGAGCCACTGGGAAAATGTCACTTAGTGAGAGTCCAAGAGCATATGGCTAGAAGAGCCATATTATTCACTGCAGTGCACACCCTCATGAGACCAAGAGAAACACATTACTGCGAGAACTTGTCTGCAGCCATCCACTGACCACAGAGATGTGTTCAAGCACATTTTAGAGTAAACCCAGGTATGTGTGAACTCAAACCCTGGTAGCAATACTTACTGACTTCTGATTCTCATATACTGATCCTATAGGACCAGGTCGATGTCGCTCATAGGACTTCATAGCTGTACATTTTCACACACGCAGACTCCCACATCTTCCTTCCAAGCAGTGGTTGGTAGGCTCAACCTTCTAGCTTTTCAGTAAGCAACTGGGCACCCCCAGGGAACCCTCAAATATCTTAAGCAGTAAGGGAAATTCATTTTACAAAAACCCTGTGAAGTACAATTCCAAGACAGGTCTCAGTAGTGACATCAGGATCCTAAGTTCTTTCCCAGTTTCTGTCTGTCTGTCTTCAGTTGTGACTTTTAATGCTCAGGGCTGACCAATTATGTAACCAGATGGTGGCAACATTTCCAAACATGGTTCGCCTGCACAACAATGTCTCCACAGAGACACGTTTAGAAGGTCAGAAAGGAAGAAGTTAGGAATTCTTCGGTATCTCTCTAAGGCAGTGGTTCTCAACCTGCCTAAGGTCGCAACCCTTTCATACAGTTCCTCATGTGGTGGTGCCCCCCAACCAGAAAATTATTTTCCTTGCTACTTCATCACTGTAATTTGGCTACTGTTTTGAATCGGGCGGCCCCTGTGAAAGGGTCGTTGGACACCCCCCCCCAAGGGGTCG